TTACTCATTTTTTTCCTTGCAGCTTGGTTTTTGCGAAAAAGTGTTGATTGGGAAAAGTTCCCCCAAGGTTTAGGTGAGAAGGACTCAATGTCAGGAAAGTCGGTTCTAGCACAGACTGAAAACCACTTTGAATTGGCAGTGTTGACTTTTGCCAATTGAGACATTAGTCGAATTGCAGTTGAATGATAAAATAGTTGAATTAGAAAAAGTTAAATCCAAGACACTCCTCGCCATGCGACCACTCCGGTTATAGTTAAAGGTAATAACATTATTTAAAACCTTAAAACTGCTGGGATTGATGCCATTTACAAGGATTTTGTTGCTGTTGGTGGAAAGCTGACCGTAATACAAGCAATATATTATATATAGCATTGAAATCTCTAGCTGGAATCATATTTTGTTCGCCATCAAGAATGTCATAAAACTTATATTGTAAAAACGAGATCATATTTCAACTAAAAACGGAACCCCAGCAGATTTACTGGTACTACTCGTAGCGAGAATTAGCATAATAAGACATTTTTTCTTCAAATTCCGTAAGAACATTAGGGATCATTGGACGCATACATTCTTTAATCGTGGAGACTAATCTATTAAGTTCCGAATACCGAAAATTCTTGTTCGAAATCATTGGCCGCCGAGATCTTGTTACACACGGCTTTGGGAGTGAACTGGAAGAAGGTTTAGCAATAACAGATTTCCTTTTAACAACCGCATTAAATTTTTTCTTTGTTAGAATCGTATTAACATTCCCATAATCATCCTTGGCCAAAATTGTCGACGAGTTCGCCAATTGAGAGAAATTCTAATTGTAGGAATCATCATCCAGACATTCAATGTAGTTTAAGGAAAACTTCTCATTGATTTCTTTGTAGATTTTTAATAGCCACAAACTTGTTGATAGTTAACACCCGCTCTTTTTTCGACTTGTTCAGAGTGCTGTGTTCACTCGATCTAGGAGAAAGGCACCTCAACATTTCACAGTTTTCGGTACGCTTAGGAGACTTGCCACAATTAAGACCCGTACGCTCCTTGGCTTACCTACCACACTTAAAACATTGTTTCAAAGTCGGTACAAAGTAATCCACAGACGATTAAAAAAATTAAGCTTGACAGATTTGGTGAGAAATTTACCTCTGAAACCAATTTTAATGCCGGTTGCCAGAATAAATTCATACCTCTTTCCGTGAAAGCTCTCGAAAAGTATGCTTTTAGGTTTTTTTTGCTTAAATCATTATTTTTAATGAAATTGTTTGCGCTGAGAGCAACTCTGCTCTGCTCTGTTGGACCAACCCTTACTACGTCTTTAGTTCTTTTAAATCATTAATATTGAAACCTTTACGATAATCGTAAAACAAAGATCCGAATTAATATTCCAGCAGATGAAGTTAATTCAACACCATGCCTAAGCAATCTCAATATCTCGTTCTTATCAATATTATTCAGAAAGTAATCCTCAAAGTAATGTATGTTTCCAACAATCTGGACAGTTCCTGCCTCCTTAGGAACGTTGTATAAGCTGTTATGAATGCTTTCCCAGGTAATGCCTACCAAAACTCCAGAAATAAGAAGAAAAAAAACAAAAGCTCTTTAATATATATGTATATTTTTGTATATTTTATATGTATATATATGTATATTTTTTGTTTTAAACGAATTTACGAAATTGCAATTTCACTTAAGTATAATTTTTCACTTGAAAAGGAAATCATTAAAGAATTATATCAAATATTATTAGTTAAATTGTTTTAAATTGAAATAAACGAAGTTCTTTTATTATATTTTTTTCCCCTTCTCACTAACTAGCTAAAGTAACACAGAAAAAACACGTCAAAAAATATTTTCAGCTGCTAAAATATATCATGTTGTTTCGAGTATTGATTGTAAAGAGAATTAGACTATTTTGTTCGCAATTTATATTATTTTCATTTTACGGCTTTTCTTTTTCTTTTACAAATGCAGCTCTAAACATTCAATACTAACTCATAACAACCAACATTAACGTAAAGCATTAGCAAATTTAGTTTACGCCGATTTTTTTTTCAACATGTATCTAAAAACATCGAAACTAGGAAATGAAACCTAATTAACAGCATACATATTTAGTGGCCATATATTGACACATTGTACATGTTTATTGTTTCTGGAAAGATTTGGAGCAAAGCTTTTGTCTACGTTTTTGCGCACTCTTTGGAGGCTATGATATTCTTCGATTTCTCTGGTATGGTTAACTTTTAGTTAAAACGAAATTTAAAGCTCGTATTAGGTATGCACAACCTTAAGCCACTAGATGCTGATTGTACGAAAATAATACAAGTCTACTTTCTTATATCAAACTGCCACCCATACTTTGTGTTGACTGGAAATTTTGTATACCTAACATTCCTTTATTCAAAATATGATCTTGGCCTATAAAATACACCCGTTTGTTATTTCAGTTCCCAACAACACAAATAATTTTTAAAATGTGGCATCATTATACTTTTATGTAGCTGTCAAAACACAAACAAAGGAAAAAGAGACCTTTTGCACAATTAACGCAATTTCTACTTGTGTTCTTCGTTTTTCCCCAAATTACATTACAAACTGAAATCTTTTAATTGACGGCAAATTTTTAATTCAATTTGTCCAATTGCTCACTTGTTTTTCAAATGTTTACGAAAATTTACGAAAAATAATTGTGGCCAAGAAAAAAAAATACGAATCTGTCAAGTGCGCAGCAGATATAAAGTATAATTTTAGCGAGAGTGTCAAGTAAGCAAAAAAGACAACTTATTTAGTGGTTTTCGTTATTCTTTAGACTAATTATTAACTAGATAGTGACTGTTATCACTAAGGAAAAATTTCGAGAAATGGCTAGCCGTAAGAAGTCTTTGTTAAAAGTCATCATTTTGGGTGATAGCAGTGTTGGAAAGACGTCAATTATGAATCAGTATGTAAGTAAGCGCTTTTCAAATCAATATAAAGCCACAATCGGCGCAGACTTTTGTACGAAAGAGGTAGTGCTTGATGATCGTGTGGTCACAATGCAAATTTGGGATACAGCCGGACAAGAACGTTTTCAGTCGTTGGGCGTAGCTTTTTATCGCGGCGCTGATTGCTGCGTTTTAGTCTATGACGTCACTTCACCAAATTCATTCAAAAATCTCGATTCGTGGCGGGATGAGTTCTTGATACAGGCCAGCCCACGGGATCCAGAGCACTTCCCTTTCGTCGTATTAGGTAACAAAGTGGACATGGATAACCGCCAGGTGTCAACACGTCGCGCCCAACAATGGTGCCAGTCCAAAAACGATCTACCCTACTTTGAAACATCAGCTAAGGAGGGCTTAAACGTGGAATTGGCGTTTCAAACAATAGCTAAAAATGCCTTGGCTCAAGAAGCCGAAGTGGAACTCTATAATGAATTCCCCGATCAAATCCGCCTAAATGCTGACAGAAATAATCGTCCTGGCAATGCTGAAAATTGCCAGTGCTAATTTGAACTGCTAGTTCGATTTGTATTCCATTTTAATGTATGTCGGCTAAAATTTTCTTCTTCAAATAATTTGAATATTTTCAATATTAAAAGTGTCGCCCATTGAATCCTTCCTACTAAGCAAGCATCAATGCGGAGCGATGATTACCCATGCATACATAAAGTAAACAAAGATAGAAAAAGTTTTAAGTAATTATAAAACGGAGCAAAAAAATAAGAAATTGAAAAAACATTTACGTACGTAATCTAAAATAATAAAGAGAAATAAAATAATAGAATATATATATTGAAAACATATATATATTAAAACGGTAAACGTATGTGGTTAAACTGGAAATTTCAGACTAACAAATAATAAAAAAAAGGAAAAGCTAAATTTCGAAAACCTAGAATCAAAAAACTTAAACGTTCTTACCCTTAAATTCGAACATATTACCGTAAAGAAAAGAAAAAGGGGGCCTTCGTGGTTTGTTGTGCTTCTCTTAAGGACGTTGGCTCACATGCATATTTATATACATCATTGATAAAAATTTGTAATTATTTCATATGTATTCAATAAATAATAAATTCAATAAAATACTAATTAACATTATAATATTTCCGAACGAATACATGTGAAGCAATGCTCGTTTATATGTTTGAGAACATGTTTCATGTTACTGCGTGGCTTTTTTTCTGATAATTTCACTGCTTTGTTGTGGAATGGATGACTCAGTGACAATTATATTCTGTTTATTTTTAAAACATTTTAAAGCAATTCAGGCACGCATTTGAAATTTAATTTTGCTTGGGCTAAGGAATTTCAGATATATTTGAATAATCAGCTACAGGAACGTTTTCTACTTCATAGCTTTGCGACAGGCAGCACCCTTATTGCCGTTATTAGAGGTCACGGATCCAAATATGATTTGGTAATGTTGAATATCAACATTTGTGGCTACTAACTGCCTTCCAATAAAATTTAGCAAGAATATTTAGCTATAGCAACCACTCTTTTCGAAGGTTAGGTTCCATTGAATTGTTCTAAAACATTCATTTAAAATTAAATACGATTGTATCCGCCTGGGTGGCCGAGTAGGCAAGAGTCTCGACTAAAAATTCAATGGTCGTGGGTTCGAATCTCAAGTGCGGTAGAGTTTTTAATTAAAAAGGCCGATAGCCTTAGATGCTGCTAGTGCTTTTAAGAGTTTAGTCTTAGAATTTATTTCTCTGGCGAAATTAATAATAATAATAATAATAATAAATACGATTGTATATTTACATTAAGCTGATTAGAAGTGCAGCTTGGTATACAGTTTCCTATGGGTCATTTCAAGTACTATCATTTGTATTTTAATATATCATCTTTCTCTCTCTTTTTGAATGGTTTCGAACGCAATTTGCGGATTTAAAAAAAAGTAAAGTCAAGTGAAAGAAATATTGGAAAGGAAATGGTGCCAAAATATTTTCTTTTTTCCAACTTAATTACTTCGAACATCGTGTACGTCATTATTTTTTATAGCGTAAAAAGTTATGTAATACAATAAGAAAATATAAAATTAATATATTACAATAAGGAAATCTCACGCAAGCAGAAATGGAATAAAAATTTGTACCAGATATCGAATACAAATTTCTCACACTAATAGAAATTCGGCTTTTTGTAAACAAATATGTGAGCCAACGTGAGAAGCAACAAAAAGAATGATTATTTTGACTGATTGACCAGATTGAAAGCAAAGTTTTGAAAACTCGCTCAACACTATTTTTCACAGCAAAAATTAATTTTACTTGCAATAAATTGTGGAATTTTGTAAATCCACATCTCTCGCAACATATGTTTAATATATTTTTCTTATATTTGTTTTCAACATATTTTCTGTATTTGTTTTTAATATATTTTTTGTATTCGTTTTTGTTGAACTGTGCATAGTTTTACATCTTGGGTTTGCTTTTAAAATATCTTAACAGCTCTTCTGTTTCGGATTAACATGGTGTTACCGCTGTTTAATT